CCCTGTAACAGTCTGCTGCATAAGCATTACATCAGAGTAAGGGAGTAAGCTTAGACTTGTAACAACCATCGATAGCAGTCACAGTATGCAATTTTTCTAAAGGTTATAAAGAGCGAGAATTAGGGTAGTGGTACATTGGGGAGTATGTGTTTTCTTTAATGTTTCAAATGCTTCCTATTAAGTTTTGTGGGTTTAGGATGTATCTTTAAGGCAAAAGCATAAGGAAAATGGGAGAAAGTATTTGCTGGAATAAGCCTGATCTATGGCTTCCTGTGAACATTAACAGTTAATGAGGTTTTTGACAGAGAGTTAACTTGACCTTTGATGTTTGGCTTTGAGGAAAGTATGTACATGAGCACTTCCGTAAGGTTTTAGGTGAGTCTACATTGTTTGGGGAACGTTTGGGGTGGCGTTTTTTGTGTTTCAAACACTTAATAAGAAAGACACAGCATTTTTAGAAGTGTTGCAAGTATGGTTGTAAACTTAATTCTTGAAATAGAGTCTTAATTTCTTTGGCAATACATGCTTGGTGCTTAAAAGAAGAAAAACCTAAACCAACCAACCAAACCAAAAACCATCTTGCATTTGGCTAGGGTCAGTAAATTACAAATTGGGATTGATAGAAATGAAGCATAGTGGTATGAGTCCAGCAGGCATTTGGTGTCATCCATACTTCTGTTAGCATTAGTATTTCTGCCAACTGTTCTGTCTGCAGTTGTGCTGAGTCTTGTAGGTGAATTAACTTTTTCTGTTGGGTTTTCTGTCTGCTAGAGTGATCCGTTACCTGGCCGCATCAAAGTTGACTTTGTGATTCCTAAAGAACTTCCGTTTGGAGACAAAGATACAAAATCCAAGGTGACCTTGCTGGAAAGTGACCATGTTAGATTCAACATTTCGACAGACAGACGTGACAAACTGGAACGAGCCACCAATATTGAGGTTCTCCCCAATACTTTCCAGTTTACTAATGAAACCAGGGAAATGGCAAGTATCTATCTTTAAAACTTTTCAATTCTTGAGGGGAAATTAAAGTAAAACATGGAGGTTTGTCTTAAATGGTAACTTTATGTAAGAATCGCTAGTGTTTTCCACTACCTCTTCTGAAATCCAGTCCTCAGGTGTACACTTCAAACAAAGTGCTTAAATGGTATAAAATTCAGAATTAATGCTGTGCATCTTTCCTTTATAAAACAGTACAAGGTTAACTACCAGGTTAATGAAATAATATTAGAGAATTAGATGTTAGTTGGCCATCTGGGAGTGGATTGCTAGCTGGTTATAGCAGACTGAGAAGTAACGCAATCTTGTAACTATTTAAAAATTGAAATGCCTGAGTCTAATGGATAACTACTCATGTTCCTTAGGAAAACTGGAAGAATCTGGGGCTACTCTGGTTCAGGTAGTGAAAAGTCTTAAGAGTCAGAGGAGGTACTGTGTGTAGCTTTTGGATTTTATGGGTTTTGGCCAGTCCTTCTGTATGAGGATCCAGCAGATGGATGGTAAAGAGCTGCATTCTATCACATATGAAAAACTTTGTGGATGACAGGGTCGAAGATGGTTGTGCTAATCAAAAGAGTATCTTTCATTTCTGTAATTTAAAATGTTGAGTCTGTTCCAACTAGACTGTAAATTTGCCTTCATTTTCGATTAGAGTCCAGTTACAATGCTATCACATCAGTATGCTGTGAATTAAGGACCCTTTGCTTTAAGAAAACTGCTGAACTTTGACTTCAGCCTCTCAGTTTTTGGCACTCTATCCTATAGACTTATATTTCTACTCTACCTAGATATATTTGCCTGTCTGAATTGAGCTGTCATTGAGGTGGCAAGTATTGGCTGCTTCTAGAAAGGTTAGCTGATTTTCACAGGATCACAGAATGTTAGGGGTTGGAAAGGACCTCGAAAGATCATCTACTCCAACCCCCTGCCAAAGCAGGACCACCTAGAGTAGGTCATCCAGGAATGCGTCCAGGTGCGTTTTGAGTGTCTCCAGAGAAGGAGACTCCACAGCCTCTCCGAGCATCCTGTTCCAGTGCTCTGTCACCCTCACAGTGAAGAACTTTTTCTTTCTGTTAATGTGGAACCTCCTGTGCTCCAGCTCATACCCTTTGCCCCTGGTCCTGTCATTGGCCATCTCCAAGAAGAGCCTGTCTCCATCCTCCTGACACTCGCCCTTTGCCTATTTATAAACATTAATGAGGTCACCCCTCAGTCTCCTCCAAGCTAAAGAGATGCGGCTCCCTCAGCCTTTCATCATAAGGGAGATATTCCACCCCCTTAATCATCTTTGTGGCTCTGTGCTGGACACTTTTTCAAGCAGTTACCTGTCCTTCTTGAACTGAGGGGCCCAGAACTGGACAACACTATTCCAGATAGTCCAGGGGTCTCACCAGGGCAGAGGAGAGGGGTAGGAGAACCTCTCTCAACCTGCTGACCACACCCCTTCTAATACACCCCAGGATGCCATCGGTTGCCTTGGCCATGAGGGCACATTGCTGGCTCAT